GCGTCTGTGGAGGGGGCGGGACGTCTGGAGCCGAGGTATTGCATTGCACTCATTGCACTGATTCTGTGCAGTATTTTTTGATGCAAGGCCTTTCAGAATCTATAACGCAGGGGTATTATTATTTTGAGGTTTTAATAGGAATAGGTGGAGTGCAACTTTTCTACTTCTGTTATTTTCTGTTGTTTCTCAAAAAAAAAAAAAAAACATTACGATATTACAGCTTTCATTGATTTATTTCAAATTTGAAACATTGTCTAGCCTGTTAGGTGTAAAAGAAACAAAAAAAAACAACAACAATTAATTGAATTGTATCGTGGTGTATTCTTGAGTATCGAAAATAATCGAATCGTTGGGTCGGGAAATCGATACTGAATCGAATCGCCATTATGGGTGTGATTTACACCCCTAGTAGATAGAGGGGGCTGGTTCAGGACCAACTGGTTTAGTTGTTCTACCATCAGTGTTGGACCTGCTCACAACAAACACTGAAAATTTCTCCTCTAATTTTTCTGTTAACAAACCAGTAGTCCCTCTAAAAAGTACCGGTATATTACACTTTAGTGCCCTATTAGTTCCCCTGGTTTCCTTGGTAACTACCCATTAGTTCTTGATTGGTTATTCTATGGCCGTTTCTCATTTAAGAAGAACATGAGTATGGACTTGTGTCCTCACCAAGTATGTCTTTGACAAGAACGTAGAAAAGTGTGGACTTTGGTCAATCGGAACAGAAGCGTACTCGTTACGTCACATTCAAAGCTAGCGTGGAGCTGCACTTCAACTCCTGTTATTAATAGTCTCTAGAAAATGATAAACTATGTTCTTGAATATAACACGTAGTTCTTGAAGTGTTCTGCAGTAGTTGATCAAATGTCTACCTTATTGTAAAGTGTTAACTGTATTTTTACATGATATTTTCTCTTTGGTCTCTTTCCTTCATCTTTAGAAGAATAGAGGTGTGGACAGAAAAGACGAAAGGAAGTAGGACACTTAATGATTCTGAGTTGATCTCCTCTTGTAGTCTCTACTTAAAAATTCAATCATTCACAAAGCAGGTCAAGGTTTCTTCATCCCTAGTTAAACAAAGGCACGAAAAAAAAACGTGACCTTTTTACATAAGGATAAGGAAGGAGAAGCTGGAGAAAAAAATTATAGCCAAGTATGCGATTAGAACAAAGCGGTGGAACCAGATGAGAAACAAGTGGATACAGCTTTAGTCAGACGTGGCAGCTTCTTCTTGCCAGACCGCAGCAATCAATCTTTTTTTTTTCTTTTTTCTTAATATTCAAATGTTTTGAGGTACGGCTCAAAGCCAGTGTGAATCAGCTTGACCCATTGTTGTCCTTATCAGGCACACAGAGGACTGGAGGAAATTTTAATAGTCTAAAACCAATGCAAGGATTTTATTTATGCATTTTACCTCCTTTTTCTAACCCCTCTAAAAAGGAGCAACACCTCAATGTTTGCAGATAAACTGTTGTTTATTTTTAATCTGGTCTAATGAACATTTAAGTTGGTTATCGGTAAAACAAAACAGGCGTCAGAAAAAATTTATCTAAATTCTTGTGGAGTAATTGTTAGGTGTTTTTAAGCATTAATAAAACACTGTTGATGTATTCTTTAGATATTTTTATTAGTAGTAGTTCGGCAGCTAGGAACAATCTGCTCAGGTGTGTTAACATAATTGTTGATCAACAGCGCCCCCTGTCTGATATCTGGAGCAGATCACAGCCTTTCAGTGCACTAGATTTGCCCATGTTTTGCTTTAAAGAACTACAGTGAACTTATTGCCATGGTTGCATCATGAGTGCTGGTGAACATTGGACTTCCTCGGTTCGTTCAGTGCACCAGTCCATGACCTAAACACCGCATTGTGCAACAGTGAAACAGCAACATAAATCAGTTTATAGAACTAGTGCCTGGTAGACTTTTACTATGAGAAGTTACCCAACTGAGGTTGATTGTGAACAACTAAGCAATGTTTGAATTATATATTTTTCTTATGCTGTCTTTATGTGAGTGTATATTTGCCCTGAATGAACTCAAATGATCTGTCATCCTGTCTGATGAACTTTGTTTCTCACTGATCTCAAGGATCCAGTATTGTTTACTGAAACGGTGAGGAAGAACCTTGATCCCTTCGGCCAGCACACTGATGAAGATCTGTGGGAAGCTCTAGAAGAGGTATTTAAAGCCCGTTCTCTATTTCCCTCCAATCAGAAGCATAAAATGTAATGGTGGTATGGATCTCCTTTAACATCCCTGCATGTTTCCACCAGGTGCAGCTTAAATCTGTGGTGGAGGAGCTGCCAGGGAAGCTGGAGACGGTTCTGGCAGAGTCCGGCTCCAACTTCAGCGTGGGTCAGAGGCAGCTGGTGTGTCTGGCTAGAGCCATCCTGAGGAGGAACCGCATCCTCATCATCGACGAGGCCACAGCTAACGTGGACCCCGGGTACTCCACAGGAAGAAGCTTTGTGTATGAAGATTGCATGTACAAAACATGTATGCAGAACTCGGCATGTGCAGTAATGCACTCAAACATGCAGTGAAAATGTGCTGCAGATTTCTACTACAATAAACTATAAATCACCAAAAGTGACCTAATAAATGGAAATTTAACTCAGAGCATCAAACCTGGAGTTTTATTCTAGACTTTTCTCCCTGCAGACCTCCGTTATTAGACGCTATTTGGCACATAACGCTTCGGGTCTAGAAGTCAGCGCTCTTAACAGACTGTCATTTTTGCTGCAGGACAGACGAGCTGATCCAGAAAACCATAAGAGACAAGTTCAGAGAATGTACTGTGCTCACCATCGCTCATCGCCTCAACACCATCATAGACAGCGACCGCATACTGGTGAGTCCTTTAAAGCCGCTATGGGGAAACTTTAGTTGCTACTTCTTAAAGGAATAGTACACCCAAAACATGATTAGCCTTCATTTTCTACTCACCCCCATGCTGAACAACACTCTGGAGTACTTTTTTGATATCTCAAATGCATCTGGAGATCTGGGAGGCTTCTTGCTGTCTGCTGACATTCAAATAATGGAGGTCTATGGTGACCGAGACAGAAAGGTCCATAAAAGTCCACAAAAAACGTGTCAATATTCCTCCATACTGCTCGTCCAATGTATTCCAAGTGTCCTGAGTGGGTAGCATCCAGAATTTACTCGAAACGAAGTCATTTAGAATGTTTTTAGAGCATAAACAGTAGTGTATAGGATTTCCTGAAAGCGCGCACGTGCGCGATCACGACGCTACGGAAGCCGGCAGACCAAACCAGATGAAAGTGTGCATTCAGCTCGGCAAAGAACTCATGCTCTTCCTCAACACTGAAGTCCTCAGACATTTTTCTTTTGTTGTTTCTTTCTTTGCACAGGTAAACAGCACATTTCTTCTTCTACGCTTGCATTATCGGCAGAGCAGACGCTGAATGCGCACTTTCGTCTGGTTTGGTCTGCCGCGGTTTCCGTAGACTCGTGAACACGCTTTTGGGAAATCCTATACACTACTGTTTATGCTCTAAAAACATTCTAAATGACTTTGTTTCGAGTAAATTCTGGATGCTACCCACTCAGGACACTTGGAATACATTGGACGAGCAGTATGGAGGAATATTGACACGTTTTTTGTGGACTTTTATGGACCTTTCTGCCTCGGGCGCCATAGACCTCCATTATTTGAATGTCAGCAGACAGCAAGAAGCCTCCCAGATCTCCAGATGCATTTGAGATATCAAAAAAGTTCTCCAGAGTGTTGTTCAGCATGGGGGTGAGTAGAAAATGAAGGCTAATCATGTTTTGGGTGTAGTATTCCTTTAAGACGGGACTTGGTCACACCTTGATTTTACCCACCTTCCCTTCTGTTCTCCTTGAAGGTACTTGACAGCGGACGCATCCAGGAATTAGACCGACCCTTCACTCTGCTTCAGAACAAAGAGGGTGCTCTCTACAAGCTGGTGCAACAGACAGGCGAGGCCGAGGCAGAAGCTCTGCTAGAATCAGCTAGACAGGTGGGCTGGAAATTATTATTTTACTCTCTGCCACTGGGCAGGCGTCTTTCATCTGGATTAATAAAGGTTTTCCAAATGTTTCCGCAGTCTGCTTATGAAACTGCAAGGCTGTGATAACCGAGGCTGGAGGAGCACATTCCCGAAACAAAAGGCTGTCATCAACGTACAAATAACATTTGTACCTCAGTGGAGATAGAAGTAGCTAAAGGTAACATGAAAATACAGGTGTATCTTGATAAACTGGAATATGTTTAGAAGTTTTATTATTATAGGGCTAATTTATAGCACAATTTACAGTCAAATCCTACAGATAAGTTTATGAACTTAAGAGTCTGGTTCTGGCTTACAGGTTATGAAAATCCATCCGATTACATGCGTTTGTTAATCCTCCCAGTTGTAGATCAGTGGTTTGCCACAAAATTCAGCACAGGTGTTACTTAGCAAATGATTTTAGAATCACTGCCCAAAGTGAATAGACTGATAAACCAGACTAAATGAGAGATTAAAGGGGTAATTTAGTCTGGTCCCGATGAATGAGGCATCGGATGATTGTTCATGAGAACAACCTGTTGTTTTTCAAACCATGTCTGTAACGCTCTGACTGATGGGAGCAACTGACTGTGACGTACGAAGCGCGTCAGAAAGCTGTGGGGGAGTTTAAACAAGCAGCCTGTCGGTAAAGCGGCGAATACGTCCTTCTTAAAAATGTAGGAGCGTAGAGACTCTTCCTCCCCAAGTTGAATCCTTCCAAAACTGAGTCAAATGAGAACTGTTCAATAGTTGTTGCCATCTTCCTTGTTGTCGTGCAACTTTGTCGTCCCGCCTTCAAAACCCCGCCTGCTTTGCATCTAGGAATTCAAAACCAATCTCTGCGTTGTGATTGGCCCGCCAGTTCTAGGGCCTGGGGCATTGATGAATGACTTTGGCCGCTGGCGGGTGGGGCTAGTTTATTAGGCTACAAAGTGAAGGTCAGGAACCTGAAGAAGCTGTGAAAATAAATTTATTTTTAGGGTTTGTTAGTCTATGGCTCAGTCCAAACCAGGCCTTTAGCTAGGAATATTTTATAGGTGTACATCTTGGTGCATCACCACTTTAAGCCTTGCATGGCATAGGAGGTCCGGGATTATCCTCCCCTGGAAAGTTGTGAAATGTAGACTCTGTGTCATGTTATTTCCCGCATTTTGAATTGGAATGCAGCTTTTTGTCTCTGTTTCAACACTACTTTTGTCCTGATTATTGAAAATTTGTGCTTGAATATAGGTGGACATTTCATAGTGT